TCTCCCTCAACTGACTATGGCAAGGATTTACCTTCTGCTGAGGGTCTCTCTCTGGGCATGGTGTGTAGGGAGGAGGCTGCTGACTCTGGAAAGGAAAGCACCAAAATTAATAGTAACAGCAGCCAGGGAAGCAGCATTCCTTACAAAACAGAAATCTTTTCTGTCCCCTGGAGGTCATGGAGTGGCTGCAAGTGTTTAAGATTAGGACTCAGAAGAGTCTTTTGGCATCCTTATTGGAAGTGATTACACCTGGAGTGTTAGCAGGATGGGGATTGCAAAAGGCAAATTCAGGTTCAGTGTCAGAGCACACAGTTTCAGGATGAAAGACTGATTTCCACTGGGTTGGTGTCCGTTGAGTCAATAAAGTTGCTCTGAATTCTCCCTGCTGTCTGTGAGATCACAATTTCTTGTAAATGTTTTTCCTAATCGGTCTGGCATAATCCTAAGATTTCCCGTGTCTTTCTTCAATGCTCGGAATACTCAGTTCACGACCTGTTTGTTAAAAATAATGGAAACTGGAATTTTCAGGAATAGATGTTTGGCTTAGTGAGTAAAAAACCCATTAGGATCTCTATTTCATTTATCCACTGTGACCTTTTCCTGTGATATAGTGTTATAGCTGAATCCCAGAAATGAAATTTCTGAAGGAAGAGTTTCATGTTTAGGATTAAAATTTATTTTGATGTCCTTTTGCAGTTGCTCACCTGTACTGCTTTTGCCACTGTAATCCAAATTGCACCTCATCACTAATTTATATAAAGCACGTGGGTTCTTCTTCATGACTGAATTTAACAGAGACAGAAAATTAGCAATGTGCAAAGACTTAGCAATCCAGAGGTACAGTGTACCATTTTTCTTGATTTTAGAAACCTTTAATATTGTTGGTTGTATAAAAAATCTTCCTTAATAGAGGCAAATTACTCTCAGTGGGTAATAGTGCACTAAAACAAGTAGGTGTGAATTCAGTAGGAAAATTTCTGTGGGGTGGGGATATCCTTCTCTATTTTTTTAATCTCTTGGCTTTTGTGTAGGGTACCTGTTATGCAATGTTTTGAGCATTGGCCACATCCACTGTTAATATTCCTGTGTGGGGAAGGCTACCAATTTAAGTCAGCTGCAGATCTGTTGCAGTGTGTACCTGATATAAACAAAATTACTAGGATGAAAAATTGAGCATGGGAAGCTTGTGATTCTGTTGACCCTTTCAAAAATGCAATATATACCATCCCTGAGAAATCATGAGAAGTAATCAGAGGAATGTGTTACAAATCTGGTATTTAAGTTCAGGCCATCATTTGACTGTGTGTTATGCTGGTTTAGGCTGAAGACCCTGGTATTAGTAGTGGTCTGCGGTAAAACCTTGGAGATTTTTTACTGACTTTTCAGGGAAATCCTGAAAACGTATTGGAAAGTAAATTAGATGTAAATAATAGAAAAAAAATGGATTAGGCTTGTGACACAGCAGAATGTTTTCATCCTGAACTGCTATTTTCAATGCCTTTTTTCACAGAATCACAGAATAGTCAGACTTGGAAGGGGCGTCTGGAAATCATCTAGTCCAAACTTTTTCTCCAAAATATACTTTGAGTTGAAACTGAGCATATACATTTTTTGTTAAGAAGTAAACATGCCTGGAGAAAACGTGTTTTGATGTCGGGTTTGTGTGATATTTTGAAATGACAGCAGCATATAAATACTGTTTTTTAATCAGCTGAGACATTGTGCAATAAAGTATTTCTGAGTGAGTTAAGTACGAAAGTTCCCCTGAGATAAGATGCTGGAGAAATGAGCTTGTAGTATCATCTGAGTTAAGAGTAGCACAGGACAGTGTGTGTTGCAGTGTTTGTGGGGTACCCACTTAAAATACTCTTCACAAAAGTGAATTTGTGAATTCAGCAGGAGACACCTAAGGTAAGTGAGAGGAAATGCATGGGAGAAAGGTGGGGCTAGCTCCTCTTATCCCAGAAGAACCAAGGTCCCTGGGGGCTGCAATGCCTTTTCTCTCCAGGTGTCACAGATACAAAGCACCTTGCAGAGATGAAACACAAGATGGATGACCGTGAGGGACATAAGTTCAGGTCCTTGAAATTTCTTGTGGATCATGACTGATTAGGGACTTGGATGCTAAATGCAAGCGCTGGCATCCTTGCTGGGCCACTCAAGTACTCCTTATGATACCTAAATTCTGAGCTTCAAATGTCACTCCAACTCTTTAAGTGCATCAAGAATTTTAAAGCTCTACATGGGTGCAGCCTGTGGTTAGGCAAGAGCCTTCCTAATCAAACAGACTGTGCCATAGTTGTTGATGACAAATACTCTGCACCTTTCACTGACCTCTTAATGGGTAGGAGGCTCATGAACTGTATGTTTGATTTATTGGTGCACTCTGTATTTTTATGTTTCTGAGTTGTTTCCCCTCTACCCCACACTTCCACAGGTTGCTCTTCCCATGTTAGTCAGAAAAAGCATACAGACATGTAAGCTTAACAGTAAACATGAACAGTAATTTCAGCACTCAGCATAAAGTATCACAATAATTCATTTTAATAACGTTTATTAGGTCGTAACAACAACTATAAACATAAGTACCATTCAGCTCTTTGCAGATATATGAACTTACTAACATCAAATCTTTACCAGAATCACATATTCTTACAGGTGTCCCAGACACAACATTAACTTTATTAATCAAAAGTTCATAAATAGTAAAAGTGTCCTCTGTTTCACATTGCAGCGTTCCTCAAGCATGTACATAACAAATTTGGAGTAACTTCTCCAAATCTATGTGTCATAAACTTCCTTAGTTGTTTCAACAACCATAGAGATGATTTTTTTTGTCTGCAGCAAAGCCTTTTGTCCTTGAGCAATCTACAATTAGTATCTCTCTCAGCAGACATGAAAGTTCATTTCTGAAATGAAAGTGGTGATGAAACACAATACAATATTATCTGCTCATAGGTTGCCTACACACTCTGCCCTCATTATAAATCCTTCAGTTATAACACTGTCTCCCAAGAAGAATATATCCCCCTTATCTGTTCTTTATCTGCACTACCTCTCTTTGAAGATCTTAAAATGGCTGGCTTGCAGCAATGGAGATATTGTACTTAGGGTGGAGTGTGTTTACAGTCAGTTCTTTTCCTTTTTAAAATTTACATGGTAATTTTTTAAGGTTGCTACAATTTATGAATCATGTACATTGACTTACATTTTCTGAAATGTTCACAGTGCAGTATTTTGTGGCCTAACCAAACTTTGTAAATGTCATTAAAAATAAACTTTTTCTTAATATAAAAATAGATTACTTTATGTGTTTACACCAACAAACCCAGTTCTATCCTATTCTAAACAAGCTATACAGTAGTATGCACAGAATTCCACAGGAACAGAAATGACATGTGATGTTTGCCCTAAAGCTATAGTACTCTTCCCTAATGAATGAAGGTTTTATTTACTATCTCTTTTCAAAATTGTTTCTCTGGTCAAAATTTAGAATTAAAAGTAGGTATCATAATTCACTGGGTTGTGTGATTCAAGAAAAGGGTAAAGGGGGCCTAAAGTTATTTCTTTTGATCGGTCATCTCCGCTCTTCAGGGATGGCATGAAGAAGTTATCAATATGCCTGCTATGGCAATGTCTTTTTAGGTCAGGGCTGTGGCAACACCTCCACTCTTTACTTACCTGTGGCAGCAGCTCCACCCAAGGTTGGGTGGCAGAGCTTCATCTGCTTGTCAAGTGACTCACCAAACAGCAGCCTTCAAGTTTTTAGTCTCAGAGTGATTAATTCTTTATTGAAAGAAATGGAGGCTTTGCATTTTTCAGAAAGAGATCTGTTGATACGCGCTGTTCGACTCAATGAAATAGTTGAACATTGGAGTAACATTGACACTAGGAATGCTTTAAGCTACATGATGGTCCCTTTGTTTTATGTACCGTCTGACTACACCAGAGGACTGGTAAGACTGATATAAAATCACAGAATGGTTTGGGTTGGAAGGGGCCGTTGAAGATCACCTAGTTCCAAACTCCCTGCTGTGGGCAACTTCACCTAGACCAAGTTCCTCAGAGCCTCATTCAACCTGGCATTGAACACCATGGGGCATTCACAGCTTCCCTGGACAACCTGCTCCAGTGCCTCAGCACCCTCACAGTAAAGGATTTTTTCCTAATATCAAATCTAAACCTACTCTCTTTCAATTTAAACCCCTTGTCCTGTCAGTACATGCCCTGGTAAATAGTCTTGCCCCATCTTTCCTGTAAGTTCCCTTCAGGTAGTGGAATACTACAATTAGGTCACCCTTCTCTTTTCCAGGCTAAACAATCCCAATTCTCTCAGCCTTTCCTCACAGGAGAGGTGGTTCATCCCTCTAATCATCTTGGTGGCCTTCTCTAGACTTGGTCGATGTCCTTGCTGTGCTGAGGACCAGAGCTGGATGCAGCACTCCAGGTGGGGTCTCACAAGGGCAGAGTAGAGAGGCAGAATGCCCTCCCTCGACCCGCTGGCCACGCTGCCTTTGACGCAGCCCAGGACACAATTGGCTTTCTGGGCTGCAAGCGCACATCGCCGGGTCATGTCCAGCCTCTCATCCACCCCAAGTGCTTCTGGGCAGGGCTGCTCTCCCCCTGTTCAGCCCCCAGCCTGTATTGATACAGGGGGCTGCCCTGAGCCACATGCAGCATCTTGTACTTGCTCTTGTTAAACCATCGTGAGATTGCCATGGGCCCACTTCTCGAGCTTGTCCAGATTCCTCTGGATGGCATCAGGTGTGTCAACCACACCCCTCAGCTTGGTGTCAGCTGCATATTTGCTGAGGGTGCACTCGATGCCTTCGTCTGTATCATTAGTGAAGATATTAAATAACACTGGTCCCAGTACAGACCCCTGAGGGACACCACTCGGCACTGATGTCCCTCAGGACTCTGAGCCATTGACCACTACCCTCTGGATGTGACTGTTCACCCAATTTCTTATCCATCTAACAGTCCACGCATCGAATCCATCTCTCTCCAGTTTGGAGAGAAGGATGTTGTGGGGGACTGTGTCAAAGGCTTTCCAGAATTATGGGTAAATGACATCTGTAGCCCTTGTCCACTGATGCAGTCACTCCATCTTAGAAGGCCACGAGGTTGGTCAGGCAGGATTTTCCCTTGATGAAGCCATGCTGGCTGTCTCAAATCACCTCTCTGTCCTTCATGTGCCTTAACATAGCTTCTTGGAGGACCTGTTCCATGATCTTCCCAGGCACAGAGGGGAGGCTGATAGGTTGGTAGTTCCCAGGGTTGTCCTTTCTTTCCTTTTAGAGTGTTTCCCTTTTTGCAGGAACCTGAGACTTCACCTGACTGCCATGATTTTTTGAATATCGTGGAGAGTGGCTTGGCAACTATATCAGCCAATTCCTTCAGTACTCTGGGATGCATGTCATCAGGTCCCATAGACTTGTCCACATTTAGGTTCCCCAGGTGGTCATGAACCTTATCTTCAGTTACAGCGGGAGTGGCTTTGCTCTCCCTGTCCTCATTCTGTCATCCATCTGCTCAAGAGGTGTGGAAAGAGAGGTTGCCATTGAAGACTGAGGCAAAAAAGTTAAGTACCTCAGCCTTCTCCTCATCCGCTGTTACCTGTTCGCCAGCGTTGTTTATCAGGAGGGTTACACCTTCTTTGACCTGTTTCTGATTAACATACCTGTAGAAACCCTTCCATTTATTCTTTGCCTCCCTTGCCAGGTTTAGTTCCAGTTTTGCCTTGGCCTTCCTCACCCACTCCCTACCCAATCGTACTTCTCTATACTCATTTTACTGCACACCATTTCTTGATTTTGATTTCTGTTAAGACACTTACCATGAGGCTGGCTCTCTTGGCTGCCTAGGTTCTTAGAAACTTTGTTGATGTAGTGTAAAAATCCAAAGTTTGCACCATGTAGGAGGAAAATACATTTTAAAATCTTGTAACTCTCATTGTCTGCCTTAGCCTTTTGTGTGAAAACCATTTCTGCACTGCTCATTATCCTAAAGCACATGCACAGTAGTAATCCTTCCAGCCATAATGACTGATATTCTACTTTCTCCTTCATGGCATTAATGATGAATTTTTGTTCTTGGGTCTGAGCACACATTAATGACAGTTTGTGGGAACTAGCTCTGTATGGTAGCACACCACATTTCCATTTGGTAAATTGATGCAGTTATCCAAATACTTGGAAATTACCGTGATGGTTTATAGAATCCCATAGCCTTAAACTAGTCCTTGTACTAGTGCAACTTGGGCAACAACATAAACATGTGCAACAGTGTTCTCACAAAGACCAGGCAGTAAAAACTAGTGGACAAAATGTTTTGCTTTTTTGTTCATACAACTAAGAATGGATTTTCCTCTATTTCAGACATTCCTGTCATGTGTCGACATCCACATCTATGTTGTCTTGTGATGATAAAAGAGAAGGATAGGGAGCAATGCACTTCACGTTGACATAAGTAGCATTGACATGAACGTAGTGTTCCCCAACAAAAGTGGAGAAGATTGTTGATATATTTGAAACAAGTTCAGAAAATGCTGGGCGCATCTCAGGTTTTGGATGCCAGCACTTCAGCATGACTTCGTACCTGCCATTCAAATAAAAGAAGTGTGCAATTACGAAATCATGTTAAAAGGAAAAAGCCCAACCCTCTCTTTCCTCCCACAGCCTCAATTACTATAATATCAGAATCAGCAGCATTTGCACAAGGCTTTGCAAACTATTTACTTACAGTGGATCAGGGCAGTATTCAGGTTGTAGCAGCCTTCTGCCTTGCAATAAGTAAACAGTTATATCAAAAGAATTTACATCAGGATAAGGTGGTGCCCCTCGTGTCATAAGTTCCCATAACAGCACACCAAAGGACCACTAAGAAAACAAAGAAATAAATAGTAAGTTATAGGATTGGAGGGCTTTACATTCCAGTTTTAGAAGATGGTTTGACAGATTTAAGCATTCAAATGCATGGATTTTTCATTTGAAAAGTTATTTTACTGCATTCAGCTTTCTTTTAAGTGCGCTAATAAATGCTGTAAGGACTTCAGGAGCCACTTAAATAAGAACTAGAGAATCTCAACTAAGTAAATGAAAGAAAATAAAAGCCTATAGGCCTACTACTTTGCTGATATAAATTGGCAGACCTCTTTTGAGGTTAATGGAGCTGTACCAGTTTACATGAGCTGATGATCTGACTAACTCTGTGTAAATACATACTGAAGACAATATATGTGGTGAAAATTCTATGCATCACAAGCTAATCTGAATCTGGATTGAAAGGAGAGCTAAAATAAAAAGCAATCCTGCCAACTAATGACTTCATTTTAACAATTTTTTCTTCATAAATGGACAGGTAATACTTGAGATTGCTGTAGGCAGTCAGTAAATATTTATAAAGCAAATAAAGTATTTTTGAGAACTAGTAAATTTATGAGTCTCAAAGTTAACATGTTTTGTCAAGCTTTCCAGAGCCCCTCCTATACCAGGGTTCAGTTCCAACTTGGCTTTTTGGAATGTCCTTAGTTTCCCTTGGAATGGGGTTAAACTAATTCTTTCCTGAGCAGTAAAAAATAATCAGGTCAACAACTTGTTCTTTTGTGATTGGGACAAATACACTTCCTGGAGGTACACAGTCTTTTATTATTATGTGAACTAAAGTTAGATTCAAATATAAGTTTTGATTTGGAGTTAGTCCATTCATTAAATACTGGAAAGATGTCTCAGGCAATATAAAAGAAACAAATAGGTGATACAAATATGTTTGTACATTACCACATCTGACTTCGTTGTGAACTTTTGAGTTTGTAAACTTTCTAAAGCCATCCATTTCACTGGCAGTTTAGCTCCTGTTTTATTGTGCACACTGTAGTATTCTTTATCATAGACATCTCTAGCAAGACCAAAATCAGCAACCTTGACAGTGAATTTTTCATCCAACCTACAGAAATGACAAAAGGTATTATTGGCAACTAAGCAGGCAAGATTTACAGTGATGGTGGATTATAATGACTGACTTGCATTTTTGAAATGGTGGATTATAATGAGTGATTTGCATTGACTTTGAAAGGCAGTACTTTATTTTGGATCTATTAACCAATGTAACAGTCAAACAAAAAGTGCAGCAAAGTATATTTGACACCCATTTGACACAGTGAATGAACCTGGGAAATTACTGATACTGTTTTGATAATACAATTTGACTTACAGTTACTTTAAAACAATTGCTTTGTATAAAAAGATTGGCTAATAGCCTATACATCCTACATCATTTCTTCCACAGCTTTTTCTTCTTCTGTATCCTTAAAAACAGCTCATTTTTATTTCCAAGCCAAGGCATGTCCTTTCCTACTTACTCTCAGTTTTGATATGGAGGGGTCCATCTTTATCTCCGCCTCTATACAATAATGTAGTGACTGCCTCTATACAATAATGTAGTCCTGTAACTAAAGATGTGTCTGGTGTCTGTTATTGGAAGAAAATGATGGCATAACAAAAGTTCTGCTGGGGTTACACCTCAGCCCTACCAGAAGACATCCCTAGTTTTGCTTCTCAAAAGATTGGTGTTTGTCCTGGAAAGTAGTATCATTGTCAAAAAATGGATAGACCATGGGTGTTCGCATGCTTAAACCTATCCTTTATTACACGTGCAGACCTAGCCACAGCAAACACTTGCTTTTGGGCTTCTTTACAGAATCACACAATCAGAATGGGTGAGGTTGGAATGGATCTCTGAAGAGCATTTAGTTCACTATGACCTCCCCTGCTCAAAACAGGGTCAGGGACTGCAGGTTGCTCAGGATCACAACCAGTTAGGTTTTGAATATCTGCTCTCTGGGCAACCTGTGACAGTGTTCAGGCATCCTTGCAATAAAGGCATTTCTTCCTATGTTTAAATGCAATTTTCTCTATTTTAATTTGTGCCTGCTGCCTCTTGGCCTGTCCCTGGGCACCACTTAGATCTTCTTCAGTCTACCATATCACGTATGGATAAAATCCCTCTGAATTTTCTCTATGCTAAATGTTCCCATCTCTCTCAGTGTCTACACGAAGCATTCTCCTGTCTTGAATTTATGAGGTTTCTGTCTGGACAACTCTAGTCTGCTGAAGTCCCTCTGAATGGAACATAACCATCTGCTGCATTTATTCACTAAATCCAGTGAAGGGAGTGAGATGGCACTTTGATGGGTCAACATGACACAGTTTATGCCATAGCAGGTTCCTGCACTTCTTCCAGGATAGTGGAATAGAGTTAAGAGTCCCCGGGGACTATATTTGCATCCTGGCTTCCTTTCTGATAGACATCACTACTGTGGCAAAGCCTGTGCTTCTGAGTGATGGATTGCACATGGCCACTGGGGAAAGGGCGTGTTCTCTTGTGGCAGCAGCTTTCCAGGCTCTGAAGTGCCAAGCCACATAGAAGTACAAAAGCGCCATTCAGTGGTCATGTGAGACACCCTGATAGCTGTTCTCTCCTCACCCAAGGAAGAGACATAGGCCAGAGGGAATGTCCTGTTGCCACTATTTGGACTTTGATTAGATGAACTAGGACTTTCATCCAGTAATACAAATAATTTCTTCTTAGGAAACCTGAAAATTATGTTACTTGTGGCTCTTTTCCTCCCTTAAAGAAACAGCACTTGTAAGAAAATGTTCTTTTTCAGAGGCTGTTTAGCTGCACAAGTGTGCACCCTTTGAAAAAAGAATAAAAAATCTGATGTCACAGGTTAATGACCTTTTTGCAGCCAGAGTTCCAGTTTATGACATACTAAAAATAAATTCTAATGTTTAATCCTGTACCTCATTAATTCACAACATTGGTGATAAATCGGCATAATCGTATCGGCAGCTCCTGTATCAGTTAGTCTTTGTGCGAACTGAACTGTCTGGCTACCCAGACACTAGTAAGATTCTTTGAATGTTAATTTGTGTGTGTAGTTGAGTCAAAGTAAGCTCATACTCATGTAATGAAAGACTACTGTCAAGAGGTCTCACTGGTGTTTCTTTGTGTTCCTGTTTTTCTTACAAAGTTCTGTGTGTTCCTCTCCCTCCTGTTAGGTGTGGCAGCAGAGACGTGCTGCTTCTGAAGAGGCTGGGTGGAAGCACAGCAAGTTGAGGCAACAGCAGTTTAACTTCCCTTAGGAGATCCCTTTTAAACTCGCTAACCAGTGATTTTGAGACGCTACACTTTCACCTCAGCTTTCTTATTTCTCACACTCAAAAAAACCTTATGTGTAAGAAATGAGCCTGTAGCAAGATGAGTAGCTCATCAGTATGCAAGGCAAACATCAGTATAATTACAGAGCAATGAGAAAACCACCCTATTCTGACTAAAAAAAAGCAGAATCTTGGAAACTTTATTTTTTATCTCACTGTCTTACACAGAAGAGTGTGATAACGTGACTGGAAGTAGATGTTTGTACTTACATACAGTTTCTTGCTGCCAAATCTCTATGGACAAACTTTTTGCTTGCAAGGTATTTCATTCCTTTTGCGACCTGAAGGCCAAATCCAATTAAATCTTTTACTGTTGGATTCTGTAAAATACAAACATTTGTGACACAATGATTGCATAAGCTTAAGGAGCAGACTGCTTTTTGCTGTGACTTTTCGGGTTTTACACTCCACCTATCCTGCCACCTGAATGATCAAGACAGGTTGGTGCTTGTAATGAAACTGGTTTAAGTTTAGGTCAAGTTCTTACCTCCAGTGAGAAGACACACTATAAGAAAACAAAAAAGCTGACAGTCTCCAGAAGAGTGGATTTTGCAGCATAAGCAGCATAACCTGGGCTGGGAAGTGGAACAGTATGCTGAAACAGCATCACAGCTGCCACACAGAATTCACATGTGTGAACTTAAGAGTAATAGCATGTAACTCAGTAGAAGGTACTAACTATGAACTTGGAGCTCATCAGCTAGTGATGACCAAGAAATGAGAGAGTCCTGTCTGGGACAAAATAAGGCAAATGGGAACTTAGCAATTAGCAGAGGAAGATTTTCCACAATTATTGTTAACTCTTTCTGCTGGTCTACATGGTAAGACAATACTGAAAATGTTAAATATCAAAATAAGTATAAACACAAACCTGTAAATCTTTTATCCAACCATATGACTTGTTATGTAATAGTAAAGTTCCCACAGATTTTTGTGTTGTTGACGTTGGTTCTTATAATTTTCTTCTGTGGAACAATCTTGCTCAACTGTGGTAATCATTCTGTTTATTTCCAGAAGGACCATGGCACTATTCACAGATAAGGGCCCTGGTCTTTGTAGAATGAAAGAAGCTCAAAAGGGAAAAGGTCCCTGTCTCAGAAAGCTTAACTCCTCCAAAAATTGGACAAAATGCATTTTTTTTTAATTGTACTGGCTATTGTTGATTGCCATAGAGCAAGGCAAAATCCTATTGTCTCAGAAGTCACTTTATGTTGTCCTAGCACTGTGAAATAGGTGAAATACTACAGTATAAAGTGGGCTTACACTACCTGAGGCAAGACCTGTGGTCTCATACTTGCGAAAAAGCAGTGAGGCACATTTGAGGAATTTTTCAATGGAAATGGGGAAGATCTCTGTTTCTCTTTCTTAATATAAGAATACAAAATATTGATAATAAACAGACTGTGATCCTAGTTGGAGACATGGAGATCCCTTACCTAGGAGTTGGAAGAGCAGATGGTGATGACTGGTACAGCTGTGCTGAAGTCAACAGAGATATGCCAGTTTAAACCAGCAGGTGATTGGGCCCCTTGACTTGGCTCTCATAAACACATTTGTTTATAACGAGGCTTATGGATGGGAAACGAGAAATATTTATTGCTTATAATTTCTGGGAAACATTCTAGAGAGGAATTTAAGGGGGAAGGGAAGAAGTAGCAGTGCTGTAGCTGGGCGCGATGCCAGCCTAAGCAAGTGCTAAAGGTTAAGGTGTAAAAACAGCAGCAAGTTACAGACGTAATGTAATTAGGAGAGCTTATAACCTGTGGTGTTGGAGCAGGGCGTGGCGAGACTTGCACTAATGTTTGGTAGACCTCACCATGTACTTACATGAGTCTCATTCCTGATGAAGTTTCGAAGATCTCCATGTTTCATGTATGGAAGAACGACTAACGGGGATCCTTCGTTGGGCAAACAGATTCCCAGGAGTGACAGAACATTGGGATGAGTGAAATCTTTCATGATTATTCCTTCTTTCAGAAACTGAGCTACTTCTTCCAGATCTGTAATCCCTGAGAAATCCAGTAATGAGTTAATTAAAAGAAATGGAAACAAACGAGAATTCATTTCTGTACAGCATGTCATTGCACAACAAAGCCATAATGAGAGACTACAAATGTGCTCCCCACATCCCACAATACAAACAGATTATGTTGGTGATTTTAATTCTGTTTCTCCTTTTTTTATTATGAATTATTTAAAATTCAATAACAACACTTGAGTAAATCCCTTAATAAATGTTGTTATAGTCTCTTCCTCTTTTTCCAGCAGCTTTGCCTACTCTTTAGCAATTTAACTTCCAAATCCAAATCTTCAGACAGTAGAATAAAAAAATTACACTGCCTTTCCCTCATTTTCCAGTGTTCTTTTCTTTGTAGAGGAAATATATGGACATTTCATTTGATATAAAAACATATGCCAATGCCTCGTGTTAATCTGAAGTAATTGGAATTGCTTCAAAGATAAATCTGATTCAACTGCAACTAAGAATCTTTGTTTGTGAAAGTATACTTTACTGTAATTTATCAGTTCACCCCAGTTATCTTTGGAATTGATAGTAATGTCTCACTATTAAACATGTAACTCACTATTCAGTGACTTCACAGCACAATGAATTTTCCTGCTATCGTTATCCAGCAACGTCCCATGGTACACACACCCAAAATGTCCTGTGTAAAAAAATAAGCAATATTAGATTTAAGAAGTAAAATTAGCTTTCTGGTATTTTCCACTGGGTAGTAATTATGCTTTAAGAAAGTGATCACACTTCATTTCTGGCCAATTCCCAACACTTGTAATGTGGATTTCCTAACTAACACACAAAACCTTTACAAAAAACCACCATTGCATAAAACCATTACGTAAAATGAAAACTCTATTTACAATATAATTGGTATTTCTTAACCTAAACAGAGAGTATAAATAATGCCAAGGCTGGTGCCACAAATGTTTCATGTTCTTCTAATGAGTATGCACACAGACACCACGTGAGCCAATTCCCACCATAATCTCCTGTGAGACAGATGTCAAAGGAGGGCACTTGGAAGGGACAGGGAGCAGACAGGAGGGAGCTGACATGACCACTGGACTCGTGGTTCCCAGTGATCTGCAAGCCTACGCAGATCCACTGGTTCACTGGACTGTACAAACTTGATGCCTCTTCAGTGAAAAGGACGGTCACTGTGGGCTTACAGTCTCTCAGGTCTGCTATTTCATGGAAAATGTGGAGTATTAAAAGTGATGTATTGGCTGTGGATGGTTTGGGAGTTGCTCTACTGATCACAGACTGATGACATCACTCAGCAGCAGTCTATGGTCTCTTCTATGGCCTAGTTTCAAGCATAAAATGTCACTAAAAGGTAGCGAGCAAAATTTGCCTTCTTTCTCATGGTCTGAGCAGTGAAATGAACTGCCAGGGACACAGAAATCCCTTCTGATCCTGTGCTTTCCTGTGAAGCAGAAACCCACTCTGAGAAGTCAGGTTGATCTCTTCAGGAAACAATGAAGTTTAAGCTCTAGGCTTGCACATAAATTTATCCAAATCAAATTATGCACACATAATTGTGGCCTTCTTTCACAGATGTACTGTTTACTGGAAACTTTTAAAATACTAATATTTGCAGTTGGAAAGCAAAATAGTTCTTTTGCTTAAGTGTGAGTTCTACAGAGAATAAGACTACCTGATTAATTCTACTACATTCCAATCATAAGTGCTGGTCGGAGCTCAGTTGGCTTTGCTTTTGGCTTGAGGTAAAATTAATACAAAGTTTGTTTTATAGAAGCAACTAAAATCCCATTAAACCACAGATTGCTTGGAGCCTGGGCACAAATCCTAAAGCTTGGATTGGGTGTGTCTACATTATTTTTGGGTTTGGCCCATTTCTAGTTATGGAGGAGAAAATTCAAAATCGTTAATTATATCGGTGTCATTCCTGATATTTTTCAACATTAAAAAATGGGAAATTACTTGGAGTTTTCCAAAACAAGAAAAAAAAGAAAAAGGCCCACCCTTACTTTGGGGATGATGAAGTGTAATACATGGAAGGGAAATGCACTGACTGACTGATTTGTGGCTCTTTTCCTGCAGAAGAGGGATTAAAAATATACTTTATAGCCAATTTTTTATCAGTATTCTTATACTCAACATGAGATCTGTGATGCATGATCTGTAGAAGTATGGAAAATGCAGCTTGTACTTTGGTTACTAATAGGTACTCAATCGTACAGAGATTAATAAATGTCCCTAACAGAAATTCTGGTTTGGGCTATGAAAGGTGAAGGGAACTTGCTTAGAGAGATGTAGAGGAATAGGAGTGATGAGAAAAATTTAGAAGAATAGGGGACTTGCTGTATCAGGAAAAAAACTAAGGGTAAGTGAATGAGAACCTATGCATTACTGCAGCTGGCATGAGAGAGGAATGAGGGGGAAGGGAGACCTTTGCTGGGAGGAAACAAATGGCAACTTCCTCAGAGCTGTGAAAAACTCGTGGAGGGAAAGGGGTGTGGGCATTTCACCTGGCCCACGGGGACTTTTACTGAATGCATTAGTGACTGCAAGAGTTTCCTGTGTTATGTAGCAATCGCAACAGATCACAGACTCCAAGTTTAAGGTCACCTGTGTCCCCACCTTGGCATCCCCTGCAATTTAGGTGTGTGCCTTAGGCTTTGTGCAATATCCTGTGGCAGATTCACTCCTGCACTGCAGCTTCATGGATCAGAAGCTCTGGCTGAGCTTTTCTGTAGCCTGGAAAAGGGTGAGAGTGAGACTGCTGATGCGGAAACAGCAAGTTTCTGAGTTCAAAGGAGCCCCATTAATTGGCAGACTCCTTCCTCCTCATGATGTCTTCTCCAGCTGATAAAATGCACACTCCCTCATCTGACTTTAAAGGAGAGCCCCTTGGTTCCCCCTTGTTTCAGTGTGTGGGATGCAGTGCTATAAGAGGTAAAAAGCTTGAAAAACCTCTATGCAGACACCTTATTCAAAATGGTTTATAATGAATGGGTGTGCAAAAAGAAGAGCAGTTCACAAGGTAAGAGTTGCAGTACCCACCTCTTCCTATTACTTCGCTGAAGTGCACTATCAGGCTGTCAGCACCAATAACCACATGCTGCACCTCTTTGACCAGGTCAGGATTTAAGGCACTGATGTCAATGTGGACGTTAGTTTGGAGAAGTGGACTGGCTAAATCTGAGTCTCCGCTAGACAGAATCGGGGAGAGGTCAGAGTGAGGATACTGGGCAGGTCTGCATGATCCATTCTGAGACATGCTTGGAAACTGATCTGCAAGATGAACAGAAACTGTTATAATCCTTTCAAACTTCTCCTTAAAAAATGAAATTTTATTGCATTGGACGGCAAGGTTTGATTTTAACAGTTTGGAAGTGGCTTGGCTTTGTGGAAGTTTTGGTCACTAAGGGAAAATGAAAATATGCATTGGTAATCTGCCATACTCCAGGAAAACTATGTCACTAGAAACTTACAATAGTGACAGCTAGCTAGAATCAGCTCTGCTTTTATGAAAGTAAATGGCAAAACTTCCACTTTTTTGAGGGGATGCAATGCCCTCACTTCCTGCCAAGTAGAAGTTAAAGCATTTCTAGTAATTGGGAGTAACAAGAGTAAAATGGAAAAATGACAGCAATATGGGAGGAGGAGGTAGTGAACAATTAAAAAAATGAAACCTTTTATTATTGTCATGTTCTAAGGGAACTTTACATTTTATGAAGGTTTCCAAACTGCTGGTGACTAGCTATATTTATCCAATGGTAAATATTCAACCAGGGAAATGCCTAGAGGTGATTCATATCCTGTAACTGCTGAAGATAATACAGTTGGTGCTACTCATGAAAATAACATGAGCCATCTGATATAGCAGAAATTAAAATATTTCAGTAAAGCCAGGAGTATTTATTTGAGAATTTTTTTTATCAACAGTATGTTGTTCAGGTATTTCAAATAGTTTTTGTTTAAAAATTTTTTTCTAGTATTTTTTCATAACTGAATGAAAGAACTAGGTTTAATTTGCAGCAATTTCAGTCTGGAATGATTCCAGTGGAGTCAATGAGCAGAATTTAGTCTAGGGTCAAAACCAAAAAAGTGAATAAATTTAAGAACAAAACTTATCAGGTACTGTATCACAACAAGTAAAATATGTTGCACAGACATGCTTTATATATTTCTGTACAAAACTTGGAAAATTTTCATATAGTGCTGTTGTCACTCTAGTTGCTGAGAAAAACTCTGCACTCTTCTATCTAGAAGCAAAAAACCAACTCTTACATTTACAAATGAGTTTATTTGTCACTAACGGCAAGTATCTATTTAATAATGCCAGTAAAATAATCCAGACATGGCTGCAAAATAATTTTTGCAGCTTCTACGTGTAAATCTGCATGTTTTCTAATGTTCCTGTTGTTTTATTCTTTGATAGGAATTGACATAAACACTGCTAGAGACATTAAGTGAACATATCTCCCCGCTGTGCTTTGCCAGTGTACAGTGGCCCCAGGACCACTGTTGATTTACCTTCCACCAAGGATCTTTGCACAGTTTTCTCTTGTGTACCACTTTGCCTTCTAACCAGTGGCACAGGCTTTCCTGTTCCTTTGGGAATTTTTCAATCAAGAAACTTCTGTATGAGCTGGTGGCAGCAATTAAAGAATGATAAGGGAAGCTGGGAACCGGCCTGTCTCTCAAACGGCTCCGCAATTGGGGCTTACAGAGGTGAAATAAGGATTTGGAGTGATTTCTATTGAGTTGTATATGGCAGCACCTGAAATAATACAAGACTATGTATATACCAAGACTAACAAACGTGTGATATCTTACTGTAATGTGGTAGCTCCTAATAGTTAAAGGCTCAGTAATGGTAATCACAGGACATGGTCTCCATGTCTTAAAGGAGGTGTTCAGCCTAATGCGGTATGACAAGTGTAGCAGACTCTCTTCTGAAGAATACCCGCTTTAAAATGGTGTTATACAGGACAAAAATGTGTTCGGCATAGGATTATTGTTCCCTGAGACCAACATCGCAGCACACATGGACCTCCACTCAATTTGTAAGTCTTCATATCCCTTTAGCTTAATTTTTAAACCCAACATTTCTGCATTACACAATGTCCCATTTTACAGAAGGGGCATTAACAAACAAAAGAGTATCAGTTTACAAAGCTCCATGTCCCATGTTGGGCCAACAGAAATGCTTTACCATGACTGTATGAAGTCACTGAGACACACTAAACCTACAGCCATTTGATGCTATCCTTAAAATAATTTTTTTCAGAGTGGATTTGCACATGGTGTGATGGACTCATGATAACACAAAATCATTATATCCACTAGCTCCTAATAAATTGTGGAGCATAGAGTGTTTCCACTAATAGCATTTTATATATTCGTCCAACCTGAGTAAAAGTAAAAATCCTTTGCACCTTAGTCTTGGGAAGCACCTGAGAAGTTCAGTTAAAATAGCAAGCCTGTGAACACAGGAGTCCCACTAATGCAGACACAGACAAACTAGATGACAAATTGAAATTAAGATACTGATCAAAATAGCTATCATCTGAAGACATATGAAAATCAAAATGTATAAAATATCATCTGTACAGATTCCTAATAGAGGTGTACCTTCTAGAAAAGTTGATCTGTAGTCTACAGATTCACTTGAAACCATTTCTGTTGTTGGACTTACACTCCTTGCGCTCACCAGCCTGTCCAGGTGAGGAGTGTGCACTCTGCCATCATAACGCACTAGGTCGCTTCCCAGATCTGAAGGGGAGAAGAAAGAAACATTAGAAAACCCTCATGGTTTTGGTATGCCAATATTCATTTAGCTATTTATTTAAACCTAGATGTTCTGCTCTGCTGGGAAGAAGGTAGTGTGTTGCTGTGGCAGACATGTTCAGGACCTGAACTTGAGCTATTTGTACAGCACAAGATTTGCTGCAACTTGCGTTGGAAGACCCACTCTTGGCCACACCGGAAGACTGAAGACAGTTTTGAAGCCTCTAGGGCTTCATGGTCTGACTGTGATACTGCATCAGAACAAAACTTGGTTATATACTACCTCCCCTGCTCCTCCTGCCTTGCACAGTGTGGCAGCTCCCACTGGAAGTAAACCCAGACACAGGGGCCAGAGAGGAGCCAGGGTCTGACCAAGTTCCTGATTTCGGTGAACAAGAGACCAGGACACTGCAGTGCTCTGTGTCTTGCACAACTCGGGCACAGCCTGGAGGACTACAAGGCAACTGGATGAAGCTGAAGTACTCGTGATTCCATACGTATCATTTACTCGTCCTCTCTTCCAAAGCTGACTGGGGAAGAGAAGTTACTAAGTTTTCCTAATAGCTTATAGTTCCTCCGAAATCCTTCTACTTAAGGCATAATGTGCCCCTTCACCCAGCTCAGACAAGAGCCAAGCACTGACATGCAACTAAACATTGTGACTTGATTTTGAAATGTCTGCTGATGCATTACAACAGGGCATTTCATGGTAGTTAAGCAAAGCACAAAATTATGTCATTTTTAAAACTCTAAGATATAATAACAAACTTATTTGATGGGATTGACTATGACGGACCTTTAATTTGTTTCTTCTTCCTTCTCCAAAGGAAAAACACCAAAAAGATAAAAAGTAAAACTGATGTTGAAAGTACTCCAGCAATTAGTCCTGTGAAATTCTGATCTTGCTGGATCAGCACTTTTCCGATAACTGTTGATAAAACTTCTTGCTTCCACTGAAATAACAAAGAAAGAAAATAGTGTGATGATTTCCAAAGACAAGTAAGAACTAGATTATTAGTACTAAAGTATGAGCTGATATGTCCGATGTATACTAAATCTTGATTTTGTGATGGTGTACTGTGTTAAGACACTGGGAGTGAAGAAATTGTTATACTGCTGTACATGAAAGCAGATCTACATGTTTCTCACTTCATTACTCACCTTCAAGAGCTCTGGTAGTGATACAGCTGTGTATTTGATACACCACACACATGGCATGCACTCGCACACGTTCTGGGTAACAGGGTCCCACTGTTACCAGAGGTTAATTCAAAATTTTAAATTCATACTCTTACTCAAATGGTGCATGGAAACATATGGGCCTATGGATATATGGACTGAAATGTACATTAAAAAAACCAGCCCAACTCTCTTTAATATGTGTCCTTCCGGCATAAAGATGCTGTAACATCAAACTCACTCTTTTGTTGACAGCGTGCCTACATTTTAGTTCCCAAGGTCATGTGAGCCTGTCCCTAGCCAGCTTCTAGCTTGTTGACAGCTTAAAGAAACAAAACAAAACAAAAAAAACCACCAACCCCAAAAAACAACCACCAAACAAACATCAAGCAGCTAACAGGGAAAAACTGTTTTAGGTCACACAGCACTATCTCAGTCAGTTGGAATGCATTTGGCCATCTTTTCTCTTCCTCCTGTGGAATTCATTCCTCTGGGTACTGTAATGATGGATTTGCCCATCAAAAGAGCATATTTTCTTCTTCGCTGGGCAGACTGCAATTTCTGTGTCTCTTTGCCAGTAAACAAGCAAAAACCTTATTTAACCCCTTTATGTTTTGTTCTTTTCTATGTATGAAACCTGTCATGCATATCTATTTCTTAGAGTTTAAGGAAATATCACACAGTAGAACTGGTGAAATGTAGTGTCAGCTCTGGTTGCATATGTGAAAATACGAACCAAATGCAATCTGTGCAAAATCATCATATGAAACTAGGCACTTACAGTTCTGGGAAACATACACCAAAAGAAGAGCTGCATCTAATTTTATAGTTTGCGTGATGTATCTAAGAAATTTAATAATTACTTTAAAAAATAAATTAATATTAAAATAAATTAATAGCTACCATATTAATAAATGAGTTATTACTATTTACATATACTGCAGTAGCGAATAGGAATATAATTCACAGCTCAGGATCCTGTTGAGATGAATGCCATAAAGATATAGAAAAAATAGATGGTCCCTGCTCCAAATAGCTTACCTAGACTTTGATCCTAATCTGACACATTCACTGTTTTCAGTGAATCAGAGTTCAGTTTCATAGTTTAAAGGTATTCCTATTCCACTGGGATTTTCCTTTTTTATATATTTAAAAAATACAAAGATACTGAAAGATCTGTGTCTTATTCTATGAATCAGTATGTCTATAATTTAAATTTGCAGTACCACACTGTATGATCACCTTTAGAAAAATGGTCAACTCAAACTTTTGTCCAAAGTGTTTTCTTCTTACAAAAAGAATAGAAATGAAATTATAAAATGCAGACAAAAAAAAAATCTTTCAGGAAGGATGTGATCCTCTTGACTGCCGCAGAATTTTTTGTTGAAAAAAGGGCTTATGAGTTCCAAACTAAATCTACTCCTTTATAGCTTCCCATTCTTCCCCATATGTTTCCTCTTGTGTTTGCATTAATAGCTATAATTTTATTTCCATGCTTAGTTCAAGTTCTACTTTGTGCCGAAGCCTCCAGAAACTCTCTCTACAAACAAGTAATAACTACAGTGAAGACAATATTTATTTTAAAACAGTTGATATTATTTGAATATCCATCCCAAACAAACATGGATAGAGATATCTCTGTAAGCACAGGCTTAGGCTTAAACTTAAAGTTTCTTGGTTCAGTAGTGACACTGTGAATGACAATAAAAATGGCATTAATATCTCATGTGTGGTGTAGTTGCCTCACCTCTATATTTAGCTCCCTGTTGGATTTCAGGAGATCACTGGGAACTGTACACAGAATTGATTCTGATTGCAGGAGGAGGTTTTCGCAGCTTTTGTTTCCAACTTTTAGCACCTCTCCTTTAACAGCTTCTGAATCAATATAATTTCCCTTGGAAAAAAAATCAATTTCATATTACATAACCATCTCATAAAAGTTAAGGAGTTACAAGCTTGGAAAATGTTTTTAATGGAAAAACAATTGAGAAATAAAAGACTAATGCAAATTTACACTGTCCTGTCAATAGGCATGTATAACGTTTTTTTCATGTAAATGGCACTTTGACAGACAGGCCAGAGAGGGATGACAAAAATTACAGATAAATTCTGCTGTCACTAATACTCATACAGCCCATACAGGCATCTAAAAATGTAAATGTCTGAGGGATTAATCCTGTTGGTCCTGTTTAGATTTTTGCATAATTTGCTCAAGAAAGGACGTATTATGTAACACCGTTGTGTACACAAAACTGGCATTATGTTATCCACAAGCTAAAGGCATCTCAAACATTTTGTTTTGCAAGTGGTTATGGCAGTAGTAGTGAAGCTTACAAAAAGAAGTAATTAATTGTAATGATACACAAATCTATTAAAATCATGTTTCACAGACCAAAAAGGAATAAACCTTGGTAAAGATGAGAGCATGAAAAGTGCAGTCCCTACTCAGAAAACCTGCTTTCATATCCCACATTTGGATGAAAAATTATTCATTATTCCGGTATTGTGATAGTGGCATTCAAAGGCCAAGTTCAGCATCTTTTGCTCAGGAGTGCATCAGAATTTAAGAAGCTGCCCTACCCCTTGTACAACCCAACTTAAGATGAAAAGAGAGGTATATTAAGCAGGATTAGAAGGGGAGAAGGGAATGTGGGACTAACACAGGCTATTTACTGAGTTGGATCTGGGAGTTTTCCATGAGAAGGGAGGGAAGGCACTGCAGCTGACATGGCTATGGGAAAGGAAACAAGAATTCCATTCTGAGGGGCAAAAAAATCTTACTTTGGCATTTTAGATTTACTGCAGAATGAGACTCAACCCTGGGGAAATTGTAATAAACATAGAGGAGAGCCAGTCTAATGTCCTATTTTGACTGGCAAAACCACACCCCAGGTAAATGCTTTTTAATTGCTGTCCACAGAAGTCCATTTTGCACTCTATCTTCTGTCTACTTGGAACCATTCTGTTTGATGTTACGTAAATATTCAATGGGCCAAGGAGCATGTGACTGACTGCTTATTGCTTAGTAGTATGGAGACTTGCTGCAGATTGTGAGCCATTCATGTTCAAATCTTTCCTTTGAATGACGTTCCTCAAAAGACTTAAATTTAAGTTTTTAATCTTCAGGATAAATATATTATCTTGGAGAGTGATTCTACGATTCTATGATTCTTCTACACCATAGCTTAGAATTTTTTGCACCATCAAAACTGATACTTACCCAAATGGAAAAGAAATCCTACTGATGTTTCCTAAGGGGATCCTTAGCCAGTTATAAAGATGATGGTAGCTTTTACTTAGTACTATTACCATTATGTTACCATTAATATATTATAGTTTCATTTATGATAACTCAATATATTAGGAGTTTCAAAACTCAGCAGTGGTTTTGCTCTTCCAGGACAACAGAATTTGCCTAAAATTTCAAGAGAAGGAGGAAACTGGGTCCTGTGAGAACTGGGAAAAAGTATGTCCTCTTTTAAAATGTGTATTGCCCCCTTCTTGGTGAGCAATGCCCTTGCATGCAAGCTGAAGAAGTTCATTACTGGACTGAGCAGCTGTTGCAAACCAATGTGATAGCTCAATCACCTCACAACTTTAGAGAGTTGGGAATAATTTGGGTAGAAGTCTAGAAGCAGTAGAAGAACCATAAACTAAGGTGTGGAAATTTTCAGATTGGTGTCAGAAGAATTTTTGAGGTTCCTAAGCAGAGAGAAAGGGTTTACTTGGGAAGAATGAGGAGTGACTGCAGCTGCAGAGGTTCCTCTTCATCTTGCTCAAAAATACCATGATTTCCATATTGCTCTCTTTTGGACCAGATATTGAGAGTAACATAATTTCCTATGTGATGGAAGAAGACTGACAATACAGTGACCTGTAAATAGGCAAGAAGAGTTTCTTAAGATTGTCTTATATAGAATGTGTTGCACTGGCTTAGGAATAGAGTGGGCAATTCAGTAAATCTTGTCCTCCTTGGAGTTTTAATACAAAAGGGCCAGAGGACAGCCAAGATCTCAGATGTGCTGTGTAACATGTCAGTTGTTACACATGAAATGACAACTGTGCTACGTATTTCTCTACTGGAAGATTTATATTTATCATCATCATCATTATGGCTAGGCTTCGCGAACGAAGATTTGGGAAGAGCTCTACCCACGTTTGTTACAAGCGCGCTGGTGGCTAAAAAGGCCAATACGAGACAGGCATGTCCGGTTGCAAAAGGCACAGCAGAAAGACTCCTTAGGTGGTATATTCTGCAAGGCACGAATCTTTCTGCATTGTCTTTTCTCCTCAAGAGTGATCCTGCGTGCTTTCTCAAAGCCATCAGCAGCGTTATAGATAGTGTGTCTCCAGACCTCCCAATTGGAGGCCAGGGTAGACCAGTTATGTTGATCAATCTGGCCAAGGCTGAGATGTTGTTTCAGGGAGTCCTTGTATCTTCTCTTCGGGGTTCCTCTCATGTGGTGGCCGGTGGCAAGTTCACCATAAAGGAAGATCTTAGGGAGACATCCTTGAGATGTGCCCTGCCCAACGCAGCTGTGTTCTCAGTAACATGGCCTCAATACTTGTGATTGTTGCTTGTTCTAGAACAGATGTATTAGTCACATAATCTGACCAGTGGATGTTTAGGATTGTACGGAGACAGCGTTGATGGAAGCGTTCTAGGAGACACAGGTGGTGACGGTAGATGACCCATGATTCAGATCCATATAAGAGAGTAGTCAGCACTATGGCTCTGTAAACACTGATCTTTGTACTTTTCTTCAAGTGTTTATTTCGCCAAACTCTTTTATGAAGCTTTCCGAAGGCACTATATGCCTTTGCTAACCTGTTGTCTATCTCTCTGTCAATCTTACCGTCCGAGGGGATGAGGCTACCTAGGTAATTAAACTGCCGGACTGATTTGAGCACTGATTCACCAATGGTGATATGGGGATGATGGAAGACTTCCTGAGGTGCAGGTTGATGGAGAACTTCTGTCTTCTTTAACCTGACTTCCAGCCCAAAGAGCTCAGCAGCGGCTGCGGAGCAGGATGTTAAACGCTGCAGAGCTGCTTCTGTGTGGGCCACAAGGGTGGCGTCATCAGCATAAAGCAGCTCCCGGACAAGATGGTTTAAGGTCTTAGTATGGGCCTTCAGTCGCCTTAGGTTGAATAGGCTTCCATCAGTACGGTATCGAATGTAGATACCGTCCTGATCATCGAGGTCCACCATGGCCCTTTGGAGCATCATGCTGAAAAAGACTGTGAATAGAGCTGATGCAAGAATGCAGACTTGTTTCACACCATTCTTTATTAGAAAGGGCTCAGAAAGTGCATTGCCATATCTGACTTGGCCGTGTTGGTCCTCAACATTGGTTGAATGTCAAACAAACCATAGACTGGTGTGCTGTAAACTTAACCTCAATCTTAAGTTCAAACCTAAAAGGGGCAGTATCCCAAGGAGGAGACTCCAAGTTAACAATCTCCAATCAGCCACAGTGAGAACAAATTCCAGGCTAATCTTCAAACTAGGCTCGATAACCATTCCACAGATTCTACAGATACCTCTCCTGTAAGAATTTGGCACCATATTAAAAACAGCATCCTGCAATCCTCTGAAGAAACCTTAGGGTTCTCGCTCAAGAAGAACAAGGACTAGTTCGATGAAAACAATCAAGAGATCCAGGAAATGTTGAGGAGGAAGAGAACTGCCCACCAAGCACACCTTGTGCTGCCATCCTGTCACGTAAGAAAAGCAGCCTTTCGCCTTGCATGCAGCAAGCTCCAACAAAAACTCTGTGACATACAGAAGTAGTGGATCAGTCTAGCTGAAAAAACACAATTATGCGCAGGCACGGGTGATCATAGAGGATTCTATGAAGCCCTGAAAACAGCATATGGGCCTACATACCAAACCCGAAGTCCTCTACTCAGTGCTGATGGTCAAACGCTTCTGACAGATAAAACCTCCATTCTGAATCGATGGTCTGAACACTTTCAGACTCTTTTCAGTACCAACCGTGTAGTCCAAGACTCAGCAATTCAGTCCATCACACAACAACTGGTGAAGTATGAATTGGATACTGCCCCCACTTCAGGAGAAACCCTTAAGACCATATAGCAGGTGAAAATAGGCAAGGCAGCTGGGGTTGATGGAATTCCACCTGAAGTCTGTAAACATGGGGGCCTTGCACTCCATGCTAAATTTCATGAGTTTGTTCTGCGCTGTTGGGAACTAGGCAAACTACCATCAGACCTTTGAGATGCAGTCATCATCACCTTATATAAGAAGAAAGGTACCAAATCAGACTGCTCAAATTACCGTGGTGTTACTCTGCTCTCCATTGCTGGGAAAATCCTGGCAAAAATACTCTTGAACAGACTAATACCTGCTATAGCAGAAGGAATTCTACCTGAAAGTCAGTGTGGTTTCAGAGCCAACAGGAGCACCACAGACATGGTATTTGTTCTCAGACAACTGCAAGAGAAGTGTAGGGAACAGAACAAAGGTCTCTATGTAACCTTTTGTTGACCTCATCAAGGCTTTCAATACTGTGAGCAGAAAAGGTCTATGGCAGATTTTGGAACGCTTAGGTTGTCTCACCAAGTTCCTTAAAATGATCATCTCACTCCATGAGGACCAACATGGCCAAGCCAGATATGGCAATGCACTTTCTGAGCCCTTTCTAATTTATAAATACACTTTACTTACTGGTGGTCCATGCCTAGGCATCCTCTGGAATAATGCACAAAGTCCCTGCACCAGTTTAGTGCATAAGCACAACCCCAGAACAGGACAGGCATTGGGCAGACTGAGGAAAGACACAATTTCTTTTCTTATTGGGTTTTTTTCACAGCCAGGATGCACTGGGTTTGCAGCAGCTCAGCTTGCAGATGCGGGTCAATGGCTTCTGCCAGAGGCAGCAAGTAGACTCTGTCCTCTTCAGCAGACTCAGGTGTTCCACTGTCCCCAGCAGTGAAACACCAGAATTTTTCCCGCCCTGACAGCTTCCCATGTTGGCAGGAGATGGGAGCACTTCTGAAGTGGTGTCTTCATGGTGCTGAATCAGAGAAGTGTCTCAAGCCACTCTGTCATGACCCCTCTGACTGGGGGATGGTGGGCACCAAGCGACTTCAAAGACCCACATACTTGGCAGAGGAAGAGAGTGATGATGTAGGACCTTGAGAGGCTGGCACTAAAGACAAGGAGGTTTGGTATTTGTGGCACACGGTGCCCTGTATTTTAAATAGAAGACCTAAAGTTTTCTTGTGTGTAACATTTTCTTACAAAAACATCTTGTGGTCATCAGTGGAAACCAAACAGAACCTTTCAATCGGTACCCACTGTCATTTGATGAAAGCCAAATATGTCACACTAGATTAGTTAGATTGAAAAACTTGTGATAAAAGCTCCCTCCGCCCCCCTGAAACTAATTAAGAAATAGATAAAAGAACTTTGGTTTGGTAGAACAGACTGTTCACTGAAGCAAGCTGCCATTTAATTTCATGCTGAGCTTGCTTAATTACTGCACAAAATACAACCATGAGGCATGTCAACTTGTGTGTATTTTTGAATGTGGGTACGGGGTGAGGGAAAAGTGTTGCCAATATGGCTTGTAATGATCTTTTGGCTCCTGACTATAATTTATGAAAGTTGCCTCACTGTTTTGATAGAAGCACCCCACTATAACTAATTCTATTTAGAGGAAGATGTTAAATTGGTGCTTGTCCATGCTTCATTCCAGGAGACCAGTTTTCACTAATGCTATTCTCCAGATGGTTGCCAGGAAATAACCAGGACATTTGGCTTAGGGAGACATCTGTCTTGGGTGCCATGACTACAGGTCAATGCTACAAAATTGTGAGTTTGGTCACTAGGACAGTCCTCAGCCAGCCTTTCCCATCTAAATGGTTTCTTCCCAGCAATAAAACAGTACCAGAGACTTTTTCCTCAGGGAGAATACAAAGTTCACAAGTAAAAGAGAAGGAAGTTAAAAAACCCAACTAGTTTTTAACCCTCAGTCTCTGTGAAGATTATGGAGCAAGTCCTCAGGGAAGCCCTTCCAGGCAAAGACAAAAAAGAAATTGGGAACCGCCAGCACAGGTTTCCCAACAGCGGATTTTGTCTGACCAGCCTTCTATGCAGAGATGACTGGTTCTGTAGATGAAAGATGAGCACTGGACAAGAGGACCCTGGTTTTATCAAGTTTTGCAACACAATCTCTCCTAGCAATGAAAACAAATTAGGATGGTATGAACTGGATAGATGGTCTATAAGGTGAATGAAAAACCTACTTGACATAGATCAAACCTTAAAAGTCTAACACGTGGCATTTGTCAATGGCTGATACTGGGACCAACACTAATTGAATCTTTATTGACAACCTGAACAAAGGGATAGAATGCACTGTCTTTGAGCTTTCAGATTACAACAAGTTTAGGAAAATTACTGATATACTGGGTCATAATATGAAATAAGGCGGCAGTATGCCACTGTAGTGATGAAGGCTCAGCACACATTTTAGCAGCAGCAAAGCCAGTAGATTGAAGGTGATTGTTCTGCTTTGGTCAGCACTTGTAAGGCCACACCTGGAGAATTGTGTCAAGTTTTTAACCCCACTGAATAAGAGAGATACTGACAATCTGGATGAAGTACAGCAGAGGGCCACTGAGCTAGAAGGGGAGCTGAAGCACAGGATACACAATGCAAGGCTAGTGGAGCTGGGTTTTTTAAAGCTGTAAAATCTCCATTCTTGGAGATCTAGATCTTTGTCTTCTAGACAAGGCCATAGGCAACCTGACCTGATTTTTAACTTAGCCCTGTTTTGAGTAACAGGGTTAGACTATGAAGATCTCCAGAGGTTCCTTCCAATCTATGTTATTCTACGATTCTTCTCAAATTAGTACTCTTTCCAACTGGTTGATATGCATGACCTGGAAAATACTGGAAAACACTGCTGTCATTGCACAGGGGCACTGAGCCATGCAGCAGCTCTATATTCCCAGATCTCCGTTGACCCACACACCAGAACTCTATCTAGCATTCCTCCAAAACTAAACATGAGAACTGCTCTGCATTGAGGAAGGAGTGATTGTATGGCCAAGAGCTCCAAGCAGAAAAACAAAATTAAAAAATAAAAATCAGACCAATTATTCTTTGGTATTTGCCCAAAACACTTTGTAGAGGCAGATTAATATTCAGAGTTTGACTGGAAGTCAGCATGGCTGGCAGGAGCTCTGCAGTAATCCTTCTGATGTCTGGAAGCCCAGAAGCTGGCCCACTGGACCATCTTGGGAGTCAAAGACATCAGGGTATCAAGATTTCTTCATTGTGACAGGGGAAAAGAGTTTTGGCTTACAGAGCTATGCAGGAGCTACACAAAGAGATGACCCAAGCATTGATTCTCTTCCATAAAGCATTTTTTATCAATTATATTCTATATAAATTATAGAAATCTATGTAAATGAGGTGTACTTTACAACAGATTTTCATAAGCATTCATTGTAAACTAGAAACACTCATATTTATACCTTTTCTATTTGATTAATCTAAACTCAGAAAAGCATTCGATTTCAAAAAATTGGACTCACACAAAATTGATTTAACTTTCTTCGCAGTACCGTAGTAGAGAGCGGCCTGTGCCTGTAAGGGCCCCAAATTCCTAAGAGATGTTTCTCAGTGCCATGTAGGCTATTCTTAACGCTCTTTGAAGAGGCATTCATCACCAACTTTGCATTTTTCACGGGTCCATAAATATTTAGGCTACAGCAGTGACTGATCCTCATGAGTGACTTTGTGCACAGGCCAGAGTTTCCCTCAGCTCAAGAGAGCCAAAGCTGCTAGGCCACATCTTCTGTGAGGAAGGACACAAAACCATGTGACAGTACGAGCTGGGACTCGGGTGCAGGCCACATACTTCAGGCTCTGGGCTACTGGCCATGTTTAATCCTGAACTCATTGCAATCAGAAGCGGATGCAGCGTGGTCCTCCCATGAGGATGAGGAAAGTCCCTCTCCAACTCCACCTGATGCCAACCACCCTGGTATATATATATCTTTGTTTTCAGCTCTGCATCTTTTAAATTGTGACAACTGGGGGTTTGGGTGAATGCAGTACCAAACACAGTGCTCTCTCTGCCCTTGCTTCCTTGGGGCTTATGTCATCAAAATGTCTGTTCCACACTGTGCTGCTGATGTGCACTTGTGAATAATTGAAAAACTTATTTCAGCATTTCTTACCTTAATTTCCAGAACATTTTGGTTGCCTCTTGAGATGAACACTGGCTTTTCAAAATGCTTAAATACTGGATTATTTACATAATCAAAATCAAAGTACAGGGAGCTGACACCATCAAAAATAAAGAACACTTTGGTTACAAAGGGTGGTTGGAGATTGAAAACTTTCAGTGAAGGCGTTGTACAGCAGATTATCTCTGAGCTAGAGCGGTGGCTACATGCCTATAAGAAAAAAAAAGAGGTAATTGTAGTACGTACATGCATAGGAAGTCAGTGATTAACGTAACTTTCTTTAACAATACACAAATATTGAAAAAATAAACACCAAGGGTCTTGTTCTTCTTTAACCAAAGCAAAAATCCTCATCAGCGCAATGCAGCATTTATGTAGAGCTGGGAGAAAAGTATAAAAACTTCATGTCAATGGTGTTTGCACTCTTGTTGAGGAAATGTTCAAGTAAACAAGCTTCCTGGCCTGATTGTTCACAGCACTTTAAAGTAAATATTTTGCAGATAATTAATGGAAAATGATTTCCAAAGCCAAGGACCATCAGGAGGCTAGCCTGATGTACTGAGCAGGCATAGTCCAGCTTACCCAGCCTATGTCACAGTGACTGCCACATGGATTTCTCTTCCTTTTTCACTACCAGAGCAATAGTAAGAGACCAGAGGACAAGGTAAAAGCCAACAAATTTGACTGAAACAGTGGAAAACAGAAGTAAAGCAGTGTTTATCCATGGCATAGCTAATTCGCTATGTTTCCAGAAAGGCACTATGGACTCTGTGAGAAAGTGCTTTAGAGCCAAAGCCACTGTGGATCCTGGGCCACAAAACCTCAGCAAAGTGTATCTTCTTTCTAAAAATGCATATGTAAGGTCCCAGGTGTGTGTCACTTGTTGCTTATGTTCTCAGCAAGTCCCTGCTGAGAGCGTTGACTGTGGGACATGCTTTGCACTGTATCTCGGACCAGAAGGGATGAGATGTTTGCCCCTCACTGCAGCGCAGGAGCTGCCTGACAACAGGCATGAAGACACACTTGCCCCTCACTCTGCCACTGTTCCTTGTGAGAGTGCCTTCTCTGAGGGAAAGCTGCTGGTGCACCTCATGATCAGAAGACCTGCCAGAGGATGCTTCGTGCCACAGGGATATGATCCAGTGTGAAATGTCTGGCCATGGTGCTTCTCTCTATCCCATACTGCCTTGACACAGGACTTGTCTAAACCACCTTTACAGTTGACAGAGGGACAAAAGCTCACCTAGAAGGGGTTTCATCTGATCCATTTTAGACAAGAGCTTTAATTAGATTAACAGTGCTCTAGAAGAGTCAACTCTCTCTTGAATATGAAGGTTTCTACAGGACTACTCTGCTTATAATATCAACAGCCCATCTACAAGCATCAGTGGGAGGCATGGTGGGTGCTGGGCAGCATCACACGAACTGCAGAGTGGTTTGTTTGCGATTGTATCGTGTACTTCCTTCTCTGTGCCTCCCTTTCATGCTGCCTACCATGGATATGGTTGAAGAACTTCTGGCACAGAGTTACTTCAACTCCACAGATGTATTTCTCTTCCAACTGTATAAACCTAAGAAGTTCCCTGTACACTGTGCCCTGACAGCAGATTAAACTTTTTCTTTTTTTAAAAAATATAAATACTGGGATTGACATGTGCCACAGTAAGAATGAGGCTAAGCTCCTAGTCATCATCAGTCTTACATTTGTTCTACAAGAGACTTTCTTGGAAAATCAACAATCCTGTCGAATACCTTTGTGCATCCAGAGAAGGTCAAAATGTGTATTTTTCTGTTTTGTTTTTCAAATTAAATTGGTTCTCATTATATAATGCTGCCTGAAGGAGCTGTGAAATCAGTTTAAATTAATGCAATGTTATTTTGTTGTTTCAAATCAGTGACATGACTGTTCAGGCTATATCAGTTATATTAAATCAGCTGTCTACAAATCAGCACTTTTTGTTATCACCACAGGTATTTATGTTTCTATGAGTATTATTGTTAAATCTTGAATCTGCCAAGGGAAAGATTTTCAATGTTCTGAGCACTTCAGTTTTAGAGCTCTTATGTGTCTGTGAGCTGCGAGTTGAGCACTCAGTTAAATAACTTGGTGCAGTTCTTAGTGATGCTAATTAGACTTGCACCTGTGTATCTAACTGCCCATTTAGATTCCTAGCAGAAATTCAGAAATAGTTTTGCAAGCCCCATGACAGTATGGTAAACTGTGGGACACAAGATAAAGGCAGATTTTTGCTCCATTTGCTTACAGTATTAGACTGTTCTTCTTTTGAATACCTTGTTATACACCAGGCTTTGTTCTATTACATGGATCTAGAAATTAATTTGAATTAGTATGGTAATAATAAGATGTGTCATTAGTATAATGGATGATCAAGCCATACTTTTCCATGATATATGAATGTTCGTAAGGTTACCTATCATATTGTGTCGATTCTAAAACGGGATTACTAAAATATATATAATTATGAAGCTAAGTATGTCCCAAATAATCATTATATTTATTTGATTAATGTAAATTCATAAGACTCTTTATCTACTGTAGAGTAGTGATGTCCCTTAAATTAATAGCAGCGGTATTCATAACTTTGTTTGTGGCTATCTATTAGAATCAGTACTTTACTTTATCAGGCTGGTCTCTGAAGCAGAAGCTTTCAGAAAATGATAAAAATCTAATAATATTCTTTGGAAGGGATGCAATGTGACTGATTGGTGAGGTCAAGAATAATCTTATTTGCAATGCCCTTATTGGTACATGGTTTGACATGACATTTTTACCTTGAAATTGCTTTTAGCAATTGAAGAATATGACAGTTTGGTTTTCATGAAATATTGGATTGAGGATCTCTAAGAAAAAAACCCTAATTCAATCTATGGCCTTCTCAATTAAAATACTGCCTATCACCCAGCACCTTTAACTTTTATTTAATTAAGCTTTAAAGTACATTCAGTTTAAAAGCTAAGCCTACATTCTTCTCGTGACTATAATCTACATCTGAAGACCGTGAGGAAGAAAAGATAAAAATTATGGTACATTTCACAAGCATAAATAAATTCCACAGGGAATAATAATCCATTGCACAATGCATATGACTCATCACTTAAGGTATGTATTCTTGTTTCATTTGTAAAATATGACCCCTGAGGCAATTAATTCAAACCTGACCTACAGAATCTGAACTTCAGTGCCCAATTCAATTTTTTTTCATCTGATAGAACAACAGGAAAAATTATGAGGGAGGATCTCTGAGTTCCAGAGGTCTCCCAGCAGCTGACCCAGATAAGAGAGGGGCAATTGGATGTGTATTACAGGATTTGCAGTTGTCAGAAGGGAGAAAAGATCCAATTTTTCCTTTCATAAAAAGTAAACTTTTGGAGTTCCAGTGAGGTATGAAAGATGAATGAAGTTAAAGACAGACTGGGAGACTCTCCAACTGTCTTTGCCAAAGGATGATTTCTCAATAGAAAGAGATGAGAATACAGGTCCAACTTGAGGAAAAGCACATTCAGAAGACTTTTCTGTGTAAAGGAGTGACACTCAAGCAGTGTATCTTGAGTGTTTTCCAGAGAACTCATTGGCTTTTGTTGCCATTTCAGGTAGTATAATAAATGGCCCTAATGGATCAGTAGCATTTTTATTCTAGTTGTCTTCTTGGATGAAGGCATGGGAGATGATACTTCTAGTCTATCAGATCATTGGACCAGAAGGTAGAGTGAAACCTCTCTTGCTGCAGGGTCTGAAAGTAAGCCCTTCGCACAACATGACCAATACTGACTGGAAGTCTAAAGTCTGGGCTTGGGATGGTCAATGTACCTTGTAGCACATCACTGGCACTCAGGTGATTTCACACCGTGGCTTTTCCCTGACATCCCCTGCTATACTCTTTTCTTGGCAGGAGATGTGCATAAGATGAAGATCTGGCACAGAAAAATACAAATGGTTCCCCTTTTTGAGGGAAACACTTTGCTGGGCTTCTGTGGTAGCTGTATGCCAAAGAGTCAAGGCAGATAGAGAATCAAACTCTGAGTGTCTTTGGATAAGTAGTCAGGAATATCTTCAATAATCACACACTCAACACCCACACCTTCCAGGGAATTTATTTTATCATTGTTTAATACCTCTAAAGTAGACACTCACTGTTGAATTCTAGGCATTTTGATGAGTATTATGAGTATGGACTGTTCACAGACTTGTAAACATTGAAGGAACTTTAGGGCATTTTAAAATTCTCCTGTAAAACAGCAGGAAATGGCACCCAGCAGAGATAAATTTAGAAATACTAAAGATCATTCAAAAGACTACTTACTGAAGAGATAATTAAAAGTCTGTGGAAAGAGAAGATCTTGCATAGCTACAGGGTCAGTTGTTGAAGGTCACATATTAGAAGGTGTTACTCCTTAGTTTTGTAACCTTTCATATCATGGGACATTCATGGTTAGAAGAGATTAAGCAGTGGGAATGTACAGCCAAATTAGTTTATAGATGGAATATTAAAAATGGTACAAAAAAAAAGGATCCCTAAATGACCACTTGTTCACTATGGGGGAATCAATGCCAAGTACAGGCTTTCGAAGAGGAAACATTGGCTCCAAGTGCTTCAGAAACAGAAAAATCACCTAGCATGACTTACAGCAGAGGTTAGAAGACACTTATTTTGTAAACAGGCTCCTGATCAAACACCATTCCAAACTGCATAGGTTTTTTTACAGGCACAATGCAAAGTGAAAGGAAGGAACGAGCTGCTTCCCTACTGGTGCACCTCACAGAGGAACTGGATGTGTGAGCAGAAGTGAGAGAGTTTCTGTATCCTTATGCATTCTCTATAATTGCTGGGAATTTTTGCAGCACTTCCTAAATTCTTAATTTTTGTTCTGAGCCAGAACAAATGATAAAAAGAACTCATGAAATAGAAATTAAAAAGAAACACATTGCAAGTATTGAAACATATGGTTCAATAACTCTAGAACATCTTTTTCACTCATTGAAATAAATTCAAAGAAGGCAAAATGTATTATTTTGAGTGTTAACACAGAATGTAATATAAACACAACTAGTGTGAACACAGTACTGAACAATTTTAAGGAAATTTAAATAAATATGAAATTAACATTATAAATTTAAAGGCATTTTTGCCATATAGAAGAAAAGTTTTCAGAAATACTAAACTACAAACATGAAAGCCAAAAAGCTCAAC